AGGCAGAGCTGGACTCCAAGGTTGAGAGGCTTTCACCCAACCCCTAGAGCCTGGCACTTTGAACTTGGACTTAAAGCCTACAAATTTTAAGAATAAACTCCTGTTTGTTAAAGCCATGCCATTTGTGGTATATTCTTGTCGGAGCAGGACTAGGTAACTAGAACAGCCATTTTGAATCAGACAACCATATGATCTACTATGCCAAGAATTACATTAATCATCACAAAGAATATTTCAAGATCTATTCCAAAGTACAAAGCTGTCCATAATAGGAAAATACCCATATGTCTACAAGGAAGATCAGTTAATACTACTATTGTTCAAATTTATGCACCAACTACCAAAGTCAAAGAGAAGGAAATTGAATTTTACCAACTTCTGCAGTCTGAAATTGACCAAACATGCAATCAAGATGTATTGATTATCACTGGTGATTGGAATGCAAAAGTTGGAAACAAAGTACAATAACCAGTAGTTGGAAAATATGGCCTTGGTGATAGAAATGATGCTGGAGATCGCATGATAGAATTTTGCAAAACCAATGACTTTTTTCAGCACATAAACAGCAGCTATACACGTGGACTTTGCCAGATGGAGCACACAGGAATCAGGTAGACTACATCTGTGGAAAGAGGCAATTGTTGTTAGGTGCCATCGAGTCATCTCTGACTCATAGTGACCCTATGCACAGGAGAATGAAACAATGCCTGGTCCTGTACCAGCCTCATGATCCTTGCTATACATGAGCCCACTGCTGCAGCCTCTGTGTCTGTCCATCTCATTGAGGGCCTTCCCCTTCTTCGTTGACCCTCTGCTTTACCAAGCATGATATCCGTCTTCAGGGAATGGTTCCTTCTGACAACATGACTAAAACAGGTCATGCTTCCAAGGAGCATTCTGGCTACAGTTCATCCAGGACAGATTTGTTAGTCATTTCAGCAGACCATGGTACTCTTAGCATTCTTCTCCAACACTGCAACTCAAAACTATCAACTCTCCTTTGGTCTTCCTTATTCACTGTCCAGCTCTCAGATGCATAAGAGGCGACTGAAATACCATGGCTTGGGTTAGGCACACCTTAGTTCTTCAAGGAGACATCTTTGCAGTTTATCACTTGAAAGTAATATGAAATCCTTGACACCTTCAATCTTTCTCCATTTATTGTGAAGCTGTTTATTGGACCAGTTGTGAATATTTTTGTTTTCTTTATATTGAGGTGTAATCCATACTGTCAACTGTAATCTTTAATCTTCATCAGTTAGTGCTTCAGGTCATCCTCATTTTCAGCAAGCAAAGTGTGTCATCTGCATATGACAGGTTGTTAATGAGTCTTCCTCCAATCTTGATGCCACGAGGCAATGGAGAAACTCAGTATCTTCAGCCAAAACAAGGCCAAGACTGTGGAACAGACCATCAACTTCATATGCGGAAGCTGAAGACAATTAAAACAAGTCCACGAAAGACAAGATATGAACTTGATTATATCCCTCCTGAATTTAGAGACCATCTGAAGGACAGATTTGTTGCACTGAACACCAATGACCAAAAACCAGAGGAACTGTGGGATGACATCAAGAACATCATCCATGAAGAAAGCATAAGGTCATTAAAAAGACAGGAAAGGAAGAAAAGACCAAAATGGATGTTAGAAGAGATGCTGAAACTTGCCCTTGAACGGAGAGTAGCTAAAGCAAATAGAAGAAATGACAAGATAAAAGAGCTGAACAGAAGATTTCAAAGAGCACCTCAAGAAGACAAAGTCAATTAATATAATGAAATGTACAAAGACCTGGAGTTAGAAAACCAAAAGGGAAGAACACACTCAACATTTCTCAAGCTGAAAGAACTAAAGAAATAATATAAGCCTTGAGTTGCAATATTGAAAGATTCTTTGGGCAAAATATTGAATGATGCAGGAAATGTCAAAAGAAGATGGAAGGAACATAGAGTCACTGTACCAAAACAACTGACCGACATTCATCCATTTCAGGAGGTGGCATATGATGAAGAACTAATGGTAGTGAAGGAAGAAGTCAAAGCTGCATTGAAAGAATTGGTGAAGAACAAGGCTCCAGGAATTGACAGATTACCTACTGAGATGTTTCAGCAAACGGATGCTACACTGGAGGCACTGACTCGTCTATGCCAAGAAATCTGGCCAACTGACTGGAAGAGATCCATATTTGTACTCATTCCAAAGAAAGATGATCCCACAGAATGTGCAAATTATCAAACAATATCATTAATATCACACACAAGTAAAATCTTGCTGAAACTAATTTAAATATGATTGCAGCAGTGTATTGACAGAGAACTTCAAGAAATGCAAGCTGGATTCAGAAGAGGACATGGAACAAGGGATATTATTGCTAATGTCAGATGGATCTTGGCTGAAAGCAAATACTACCAGAAAGATGTTTACTCGTGTTTTATTGACTATGCAAAAGCATTTGATTGTGTGGATCTTAACAAATTATGGGTAACATCAAGAAGAATGGGAATTCCAGAACACTTATTTGTGCTCATGACGAATCTGTACATAGACTAGGAGGCTGTCATTCCAACAGAACAAGGGTATACTTCATGGTTTAAAACCAGGAAGGGAGCGCATCAGGGTTGTATCCTTTCACCATACTTATTCAACCTGTATGCTGAGGAAATAATCCGAGAAGCTGGACCATTTGAAGAAGAGTGGCATCAGAAGTGGAAGAAGACTCATTAACAACCTGCAAGATGCGGACAACACAATCATGCTTGCTGAAAGTGAAGATGACTTGAAGCACTTACTGATGAATACTGAAGACTACAGTCTGCAGTATCCATTACATCTCAACATAAAGAAAACGAAAATCCTCACAAATGGACCAATAAGCAGAATCATGATAAATGGAGAAAAGATTGAAGTTGTCAAAGATTTCATATAACTTGGTTCCACAATCAACACCAATGGAAGCAGCAGTTAAGAAATCAGATGATGTATTGCACTGGGCAAATCTGCTGAAAAAGACCTCTTAAAGTGCTGAAGAACAAAGTGTTGAACACTAAGGTGAGCCTAACCCAAGCCATGGTATTTTCAATCACCTCATATGCATGTGAAAACTGGACAATAAGGAAGACGGAAAAAGAGTTAATGCTTTTGAGTTGTGGTTTTGCAAAGAATAATGAAGGTACCATGGACCTCCAAAAGAACTAACAAATCTTTCCTGGAAGAGGTGCAGCTGGAATGCTCTGTGGAAGTGAGAATGGCCAGACTTTGTCTGACCTACTTTGGTCAAACTGTCAGAAGGGACCATTCCCTGGAGAAGGATGTCATGTTTGGTAAAGGGGAGGGTCAATAAAAAAGGGGAAGGCCCTCAATGAGATGGACTGACACAGTGGCTGCATCCATGGGCTCAGGTATAGCAAGGATTGAGGCTGGCACAGGCCTGGTCATTGTTTGTTCTGTTATACATAGGGTCCCTACGAGTGGGAGCCAAATTGACCGCACCTGACAACAACAACAGAGAAGGTTGTTATCCATCCAGGCAATATTAAGGGTCCAAGGATGAGAGAGACAAAAGCCAAGAATCCAGGTTGGCTAGTGACCAAGGAGTTTGGAGCATTCCTGACCTGGAGCCTATGCTAAAATGCAGATTCTTGGCCTTGGGTTTTTCAGGTGATTTGGACACCACCAAAATCTTGCATTGACATTTGTAGTGTATTGACATTTGGGAATTACTGTGTCCAGGTGTGCAGACAGTAAAACAATACAGACTTTATAAACAAAGAAAGAATTGAAAAATTTAAATATGCTGTCATGAGCCTCTTGGAAGAAAGAATACAACTTTTGGGAAGGAGCACTAGTTCAGAATGAATCTGGTAGCTAAAGGAGGTGTTGTTGTTGTTGTTATGTGCCGTCGAGTCGGCCCGACTCATAGCGACCCCTCCTTGGGTTTCCGAGGCAGTATCACTACCGAAGTAGGATTGCCCAACCTTCCTTCCGAGGAGTGGCTGGTGGGTTTGAACCGCCAGCCTTCTGGTTAGCAGTCAAGTGCTTTAGCCACTATGCTACCAGAGCTCCTATAAGGAGGTCTAGAGGGCAGTTAATGCAGGCGGAGCAAGCAGAAGTAGCAGGTCAAGTGTAAAAAGTCTAGATCAGCAAAGGCAGGGAGGATTAAGTTTAGACTTAGTGGGTTTCTTTTTTTTCTTCTTCTTTTTTTTTAGCAAAAATGTAACAAAGAGGAGGGGCTTCTTAGGAGAAGCACTGAGCCCTAGCCAGTTCGAGTCAAAGAAAGAGCCTCTTGGGCATCCTGTCTCCATCCCTGAATCCCGTAACATCCCCTAGGGGAAGCGCAGCTAGCGACTCATACTAGCCCAAGTCCCGTCAGGCTCCCAGCCGCCGCCTAGTCAAGCCGTCTCTTAGCAACGCCTGAGACCGCCTACACCATTCGTATTTTCACGGGGGAGCCTCCTCACCTCCAACGTAGGAAATGGCGGCCAAACAGAAGAGACGCTGGACTTCGTTCAATGAATTCTCTCCCATGCTAGGGAAGGCACTGAAATAGTGAGGGCTTTTGAACTTTGACAACCAGACAGCGGCTTCTCCTGTCTCCGTACCCCTCGGAAGAGATAGGCAACGCCGTTACATAGGCGGGGCGGGTCGAGGCCTAGACCCCTGCCGGAAGTGACATCAAGTGGAGCGCGGCGGGGCTTCGCTGTGCGGACGCGGGTTGTCATGTCTCCTCTGACGCGGCTGGCGCCTTTCGTTCGCGTCCGAAGTCGGCTCTTCAGAGGCTGCCGCGAGCAGACGGCAGGAGGCGGGGGCGTCCGTCAGTGAGTGTTGGGGCCGGGGGCTTCGGCTGCTTCTGAGGCGCGCGGTCTCCGGACGCTCTCACCTTGACCCGGCGGGGGCCGTACGCGTCCGGGTGTGGCCGCTGCCCCGGGGCATGCTGGGGGTTGTGGTCCCTCCTTCACTCAGGGCTGCGAGACCGAGCCCGGGGAGGGGAAGAGGGAAACGGGGTGGGCTTGTGAGCGCGCCGCGCGCGCACTGTGTCGGCCCTAGCGGTCCCGGTGCTGGGAGGCTAACAGAACAGCGCCCCTTTGCTATTTTTCTGCGTAAGCTGGTGACTTCCCACCACCGCAACCATAACCGTCAGCCCTCGCCGTCCGCCTTCGCGGTTCCGGTGCAGAGCACACTCATGTCACCAGTGGAACCGCGATGAGTCAAGCTTTGGCTGCTGCCCGAGTGAAAAGCGAGCGTGGACTCCACGGGCTGGGGAGTGGAGTGGTGCACGCCTTGAGGGCTGGGCCCGGAGGCGAGCGCTGACCGTCCCGCCCTGCCTCGCAGTGCCGGCGGCGGCGTGCACATCAAGCCCAGCTACCGGCAGTTTCCCCAGCTGACCAGGTCCCAGGTGCTGCAGGCCGAGTTCTTCAGCGCGACCATGTGGTTCTGGATCCTCTGGCGGTTCTGGCATGACTCGGACGCTGTGCTGGTAAGGACAGGAGGGTCGCCCGGGCCCATGAGGGGGCAGTTCAGTGGCTCGTTTGCAGACCCTTCTCGCTGCACAGCCCCTCCTCCACGTTGCACTTCACGCAGGCGGTTGTGGCCCCGGATGAGACATGCCGTCTTCTGACCCTTCCACCCAAGGACACAGCTTTAGGTGGCCCCTGCCGGTGGGTCGTGGGCCTGCTGCGTTGTTTGGTGGCCGTCCACGGAAGGGAGGCTAGAAATGAATTCTCTGATCTGCTGAACTAGGGGTTTACCTGCTGGTAAAGGTTACCAGCTGTGGCTGGTTTTCACCGTTTCACACTTAGGTTCCTTTCACGGCGAACGCTGCCCTGGTTGCCTGCCTGTCAGACGGCCCGCGCAGCCAGGTTCAGCGAGGTGCGCCGAGCTGACTGCGGACTCCCTAACGTGTCAGGAGCCTCCACGGTGCTTGTAGCCCGTTTGCACAGACTCTCTTCTCCAGGAGTTCACACCCTTAAGACATTGAATCTGTTTGCCGACCCAAGTTAATCTGTCAGTAAAGCTGGTTTTGTTTCCAAGAAAGGAGAAAACCTTCCATGTAAGCAGTGGACAAATTTTAGGAGCAGCAAGTTGCTCCCTACCTCATGCCTCTCCGAACTCTGCGAGCTGGCTGCACGCTGGCAGACCCCGTCTGTGCTTGTAGGTCACTTATCAGCGTGTCTGTGGCTCGTTGGCATGGAGTGGTGTTGCAGCCACTTAATGCCCTGAGGTCAGGGTGGCAGGTGACGACGTCCACGGGCCCCCACACCTCACAGCAGAACCACCTGGGGAGGCGTCTGTGTTGGCCAGGGCTGTGCAGCAGTGCCAGCACGTGGGCTGTCTTTGGACTCTGTCACAGACACATACCTGGGCCCAAGCCCTGTAGCGGACAGACTGAAGGACAGCGGCTCTGCATCAGAGAAAGCAGAAGCTGTTCCCGTGGCACGCCAGGGGCTGGGCATACGGCAGTGAGACTTGTCACCCCTTCCATGATTTCTTTTTAATTTAACTGGTCATGTGCATTTCAGATCCTTGACTGGTTTTCATTCGGTCACTCCCCAGGGTCACTTTCCATATCCGGATCCTTCCCAGTGGACGGATGAAGAGCTGGGTATTCCTCCTGATGATGAAGACTGAAGGCCAGGCTCACTGCCTGTCACGTGGGTGTACCCTGTGTTCCTGGTGTTAAGTCACATTTTCCTTTTGTCAGTGAACACTTGCTTTGACCTGTGCCTTCAACGGCTGTATACCGACAGTGAGGCACAATTAACCGTATAACTGGCCTACTTTCTGCTGTTATTTTCATGTCTGTGGTCCTTCATTCTGCCCTATTTTGATCCTGTCTTCGTTTTCCTCGCATTTTTCCTAAGTTATGTTCTAGTGTATTCGTCCACTGATCAGGTACTTAGGACATGTTTACCTCTTTGTGCCAGGACAGGGTACACAGTGGTGAACCAGCCAGACAGCGAGCTGTTGGCAAGTGTTGGCAGTCACAAAATCAGTGCCTGACCTCAGTTTTTGTTGTTATCTGCTGGCGAGTCGGACCCAACTCATAGTGAACCCTCCTTGGGTTTCCGAGGTGGTATCACTACGGAAGTAGATTGCCCCATCTTCCTTTCAAGGAGTGGCTGGTGGGTTTGAACTGTCAGCCCTCTGGTTAGCAGTCACGTGCCTTAGGTACTATGCCACCAGAGCTCCTAGTTTGTCTGTAGTGACCAGAACAGGAAGAGGTAGCATATAGGCACATTACTCTGTGCAAGTGAACTCTTCAGGCAGTAAAAGGTGATGGCTCTTTGGTTCTCAATCAGGAAGTCAGTTTTCCCTCTTTCAGAAGAGAGGTCCTAGAGGATTCCCTTTCCCCCCAAACCTCCAGGGATTAAAACATTCCCGTTTAATGTGTTTTTAAGTTCATAATTGCATTTTCATAACTGCCACGGTTCAGAAGGCCTTGGAAGTTAAAGGATAGGAAGCATTAAGTGCTCATGTTTCAACTAAATCACACCACTGGTCTTGCTGTTACATTTTTGCTCAGTAATAGTTTATCGTCGTTAGAATTACAGCAGGGGCGGGATAAAGCGCTGCCGAAGGGCAGGCTTGGGTCCGCTGTTGAGAAGCCCCGGCCTCCCGAGGCCTGTGCTCACAGGTCTGGCTGGCACAGCTGCTGTCCCACTTTGAGGGTGCGGTAATCTGAACCGTTTCCCGAAATTCTCACAAACAGTTGTTACCATTTTGTTGGAGGGCCTGAACCCTCTAGGGAGGTGAACTTGTTCTCGGCCAGCACAGCTCAGTGGGTGCGTGAAGAACTGAACACACAGGAACGTGCATTTGAAAGTAACAGACTGAAAGTTTTCCATTTTGTTCTCCTGCAGGAGCTGACGAGAACTTGAGGAAGTGACAGGTGTCCTATTAAAGAAAGCCGTCAATTAAACGGTTTGATGGAGAATGGAATGGGCTCGTGGATGGTTGTGTAGTGACTGTTCCCTGTGCTCCACCTGCCAGGCTGAGGGACACACGTGCCCTGCCAGCTGGTCCCTGTGGGCCCCAGGCTGCAGATGGTATCAGCTCATTCCCCACGGAGGACCTGGGGCTGCACATGTGCTCAGTGGCTCAGGGTAGGGCTGCTTTTCAGTATGTCTGTTGTCAGCTGATGGGAACCCTTGTGGGTGGGTTCCCACCCGGTTGCAAGGGTGCAGACCAGTGTGCTCTGGATCTGCTGTGGGTGGGGCCTGCACAGTGGCCCCTCAAGGAGCCCTGAGACGCACCCTGACTACCTGGGAATTCTTCCGGCCAGAGAAACGGGCGAGTGAAACAGATTTCTCCTTTTTCCTAAAACTCATTTCAGAGCACTTCCTGGTGCTGTGTGGTGTCATAGCCATTCTGAAAGCGGGCAGGGCAGGGCTTTTCTCCGTCCACGAGGAGCAATTGGCAGGGGGAAAGCACAGGTGGTCCTTTCTGTAACACCCTCGGAGCACCCTGGCCCTGGGAGCACAGAGCGAAACAGGCTAGGATGACCCAGGACTTACATTATAGGAAGGGCAGCCAGCCAGCCCAGGTTGAGGAGCACCGTGTCCTGGAGGAGATAGCCTGGGGTGTGTGCTGGAGGGGGTGGCTGAAGGAACCACTTGCACAGATGTCCTCAGGGGGACAGAAAGACGCGGGTGGGGGAGCTCCAGGGGCTACTGGATCAGAAGGTCCACTGGCGAAAGACCCAGGATGGAGGGGGCAGGAGGCACAGGTTGTCAGACCAGGGGTCTCTGCCCATCCTGAGCAGGGGACAGGAGGGCACCCTAGACCCTGGGTCCGTTCCCCCTTTTCTGTCCCCACATCAGCAGGGTGCAGGGCAGCAGGGGTGGGAGGAAGCAGGGGGACACCTTGTCCCACTGTCGGTGCCCCACACCAGTTGCGAAGGTGCTGGTGGCACCTGCCCTTGGCTGCTTCCTCACCTGCTAAGGTGAGCTCCTCACTGGTAAAGACACACTGAAGGTCTTCCAAGAGGTGAATCCCACTCGTGCTCTGTGGTAGGTCTCCTTCTTGTCTCCCCATCTCCCTACTGTATAATTCAGATTTTGGGGGAAGAGTGCCACAGCGAACTCAAGTAGGGTAACCCTACACGCACCCTTCCTTGGAAATCGCTTGGAATCACCTGACTTGAATTAAAAGCAGCATCTTCCACAATTGGCATCCACGCTCGGACTGTGACTGTAATTTGAGCTGGTGCAGGAAGCATCCAGCCCTTTCTCCAAGGATTGGGTTCCACCAGCTACAGTCATAGGGGACTCTGAAGTGAGAGTATGTCCCAAAGATCTGCTCAGTCCATTTGATTGAAAGCTGCATGAGATGGTACTGTGAAAAGCTTGGGTTTGCTATGGGCCAGGCACAGTTTTAAACACTGCATGTGTGTTAACTTACCCCTCACATTGTTCCTTCCATTTTGCAGATGAGGAAACTGAGTGACAGATGGGCTGGGTCATCTGCTCACACGCACACAGCTAGTTAGTGAGCGAGCTGAGGTCAAATCCTGGCTGCAGGTCAGGCCAGGTGACCAGAGAGGCGGCTGACCTTTCGGTTAGGGCTCCCTGAAAGAAAGCATTTCCACTGTGACCCAGTCCCTACAGCTACTCACACATCTGTACAGTAAAACCTGTAAAAGCCAGACCTGGGTAAGGTGGAAACCTGCTGGAGAAGGAGAACTCCCTTGGTGCTTATGGGGTGGGGTCTTTATAGGGTCACAGAAAAGTGCTGAGCATCCTGTCCAACGCTGAGACCTTAGGAGATCTGAGGACAGGCAGTCGCCATGCGCTCCGGCTTTCACAGGGTCCGCTGTCTATCAAACTAAGAAGTTTTACGAAATGGTACTTCCTGTGACGCAGCCTGGTATTTTCCACTCCTTTGTCCTTTGTTAGCTGCAGAACCACCCCACAGGGTTTCCAAGGCTGTTGATCTTTAGGTGAGGTGACTGTCCCATCTTTCTCCTACTGAGCGGCTGGTTTCAAACCCCAGAGCTTTTGGTTGGCAGCTAAGTGCTTACCCATTGTGCCAGCAGGGCTCTGTAGCAACCTTAAAAAATGACGACCAGTTGAGACCGACAGTGGTGCCATGGTAGTCTAGGCATTCGGTTGCTAACCAGAAGGTCGGCAGGTCAAACCACCAGCCGCTTTGTGGGAGAAAGATGAGGCAGTCTACTTGGGGGAAGATTTACAGCTGTGGAAACCCTATGTGTGGGTTCTGCTCTGTCCTGTAGGGTCACTAAGACAACTGACTTGATAGCCGTGGGTTTTTAATTTTTTTTAAAGCTGGCGTCATGCTGAAGGACTTGGGTTCTGGAGTCAGCCTTGCTGGTCTGTCGTCGGTGCCCTGCTCTTTGGACAGATGGTTGACCTGGGCTCTAGCTCCCTCACTTGTACATCAGATTGAACAGTTTATGTGAGTTAGTACGTGGCGCTTGTAGGACATCACCTGGCATGACATAAACTCTATACAGCAGCAACTGCTCCTTTTGACCCAGTGAGCGCCCTGGGCCTGAGCTGCATTTACAGGGACCCTGCACCCCAGTGTAGCTCCTACAAACGCCTCCCTGTTGACTCAGGTTCCAAGAGCAGCAGTCCAGTGCCACCTCTGCCTCCCCTCCCCCAAATACAACACAAAACCAGGCCGCGTTTGGGATACCCCTCTCCCTTCCCGAGTGTGTGAAAGTCCATTCAAAGGTTTCGGGGTGTGTGTGACTGGCATCTGGAGAGAAATAAGGCTGTGTGAATGGAAAGGCAGGAGGGGAAAGGATGACTGACGGGACAGTGAAGATTCCATCAGTAAAGTTCACCACCATGTGTAACTTCTGTCTCCTGCGGCCTTTAATGTAAATAACACAACTGGATTCCTAGTTGTGCAGTGAATTGCTTGGCATGGTTTTTCTAGCCATAGTCTGTAACTCCTACCAGATTCCTGGGTGGGACCATGCAAATAAGGTGTGTAGAACTCTGATGTTGGGATTGGTTGGTTTTCTCACTGCCAGGCTTAAGATGAGCCTAGAGGCAGAAGAGCTGGAGGTGAGGTGGAGCGTGTCCTTGGACCCGAGATTCCCTGTGCTGGACCTTGGCACAGATGCCTGGCTGAGAGACAGTAGCAGCAAAGGCAAGAGGCAGCGGTGGGATTTCCAGCCCATGAACAAGGAAGCTGAGAGCCCTTGGGGCGGAGGCTTGCTGATGGAGTGGGGTGCATGTAGGCGTACCTACCAGCAGAGCTAACACTTGCCTGAGCCGGGCAGCGGCCAGGCGGAGAGGCCAAGGGCCAGAGAAGTGTGCCTGAGAGCACAGCACGGGCGGCTGTCCTGATTGGAGAACTGCCTCCTGAGCGCGTTCCTGAGCCTGAATCGTGGCCTGTTGTTTCCCCTGTAAACCCTAGAATCATAAGTCCTGTCTGAGTTCTGTGTGGCCTTTGCAACAAGCTATCAAACCCAGCAGAGAAGCAGTGAGTACTGTGGGAGGGAAGGCTGGTGTCATGTCTGGCCTCAGGAGTAAGTCTTGGGCGTCCAATGGTGATTCCGTCTTCCTCTTGTGAAGTTCGAGGAGGTCAGAAGATGCTGCCTCCATGCCTTTTATGTGTTAGGAGGAACGGGAAGGGCACTGTGAGAAGCACGTGTG